GTATAGATAGCAAAAATTAATCTGTACTTACCTAATGATGTGATCCGTCAACAATGAATCAGCTACTTATACACTATTATATGTCTATTTTTTAAATAAAACTAATGTCACTCTATAGTTGGAACAAGAGCATCGTAACGTAGCGTTAAACGTTTGATTACTGTGTTTGTTTGTTTTAAAATAATCGAATAATTGTTTTAAGAGCGTCCACCTCTGTCAAGCATGAAGATGATTGTTGATTGTGTTCTGCTTCGTCAAAAATTAAAAGAGATAGATCTCGGGAATCCCCGATTATAGAAAAACACATTGTTTCTGTATGGTCGGAAAGTCGGGGATTCCCGAGAAATTAAACCGATTGAACACTACGTTCCATTCTAATGCTGCCAACTTAACAATCTACCTAAATTTAGGGAAAATTACAAGTAAGTAGGCCGGGTTGGCGAAAAAAAGACAACTGATTTGTAGTATGTAGTAGTAATTGAATTGCTGTTAGGGGGCGCCGAAGAAATTTCGCCCAGGGCGCTAGTAGTGCTAAAACCGGCACTGCCTAAGATATAAATTGATCTAATTACTCTTTTCTGAAGCACAAAAATTGTTTGTATGTCGGCAGCATTTCGCCACAATAAGATTCCGTACGACATTACACTATGAAAGTAACTGAAGTATACTAATCTGGCAGTTTCTATATCAGTTCTACGTATTTTCATTACGGCATATGCTGCAGAATAATTGACTTTGTATAATAAAATAACCGACTATTTGTTTTTTTTTATTACTGTCCATGTTTTACTATCGTAAAAATTAATCAACCGCCATTAAATTAAATAACTGCTCAATATGTTTTTCAACTGATCATAATGACATCTCGTATATTTAAATAACAGCTCAAAAAATTAGTTCCCAATGTTTTTTCTTCATCTACTTTTTCAGAAACTACTTAGACCGAGGACCCATAGAACGGTTTTTGTAACTCGCGTAGGATTTGATAATATAGTTAATGCATGTTAGCTATTTTCTATAGAGATGTTAATGCTCTTCTAATTTTCGCAGCAACTTTGCGAGCGTTTACGCAGCCATGACGGCTGCGACAAAAATCGCCCTCTAAGTTATGTATGACTCGAGAGTCACAGTGAATAGTATTATCACCAGGTTGGCATTTTTCACTGCTAGGTCACAGACTGAAAATAAATGGAACAGTTTATTGAAACCGACTATGAATACCAGTTTTACCGCCGGTTGTTTACAGTTGCTGCCGGGATGAATAAAACCCAGCAACCAGGCTGCGGCCGTGTTTGATGATGGTTGGTATATGCTAGCTATAGCAGATAGGCATATGGTCATACAATCACTACATTCCGACATAATCCAACACAATTTGTGCATCAGAAAATGAGCACCGTCAGGTGGCTCTAGCATAATGGTCTAGAAAACTGTTTCAGCGAAATGGATAGAGGATAACTGCTTTAAAATTCAGTTGTAGGGATCACACAAAGATCGAAATCGCTCATTGAAGGAAAAAAAAGGTTCCTAACGCGTTGTGGCAAAATATCCACATTGCGTACGTAATTCATGTTATGGCTTTTATGGAAATGTGGCGTGACAAAATATTCACATAGCGTAATACATGTGGCTATCATGCTATTCGATCACAACGAGTTGTGGCAATGAAGAGAAGCCATGAAGCGTTCTGTCTGAGAATTCAGGTTGTCATTGTTTAATTAAAATTAAAAAGGTATATAGGTATATACCTCACGTGCGTTTTACCAATTGCACCCTCCCCCGTCTCACCACCCGCATACCTCAGGCGGGCACTTCCGCGCACACTATAGTACATTTCGTTCAGTGAACTAGTTCGGTCTAATATAGTTCTTCTCGGTTAGTGGTGATTATTATTTCCAATTAGATTGTAACAATAGGCAGAATACAACTAAAACTCGTCTGGAACGATTTCAGCATACGATCAAGCGTTGAATTTTATAGGGATGATAATGATAACTATTTTTTGTCTTGTCCTTCAGGTGGATTATTGAAAACACGTTTTTTGCGTAATTAATAAATTATGACGATACTTTTGAGTTATGTTATATGACGTCATGGTTTTGTGCATTTCTATAAAATTATGACGTAATGATAAATTATGTCCTTAATGTCATGGTTTTTAGTCGAACTCAAAAAGATAGCTAAAAATTTGCGACTACGTCTATTTTTCAAATATGCCTTACAGAATTCAATAAAATAATATGGCACGTGGGTTATAAAGGGTTCCGTGGATTTAGCCCGAGAAACTGAACGGGACGCCGCTTTTATGTGAATTTCTCAGCATTTCTTCAATTTTCGGTTGACTAAAAACTCCAAACAAGCATTAAAACGTCTAAAAGACCTGCAGTTTAGTGTAAAAAGTAAATTCATTATTACACGAAAAAAATGGCTGTATAGGCTGCCTTAAACAATAACGTTACGAATGTTACCAACATTTCAGTGAAAAATATGAATATAAACAAAAATAAACACTATGAATTAAAGACTAGAGGTGATATACTGCTTTATTGCTAAATATCTGTTACTCTTAATAGTTCACCAAATAAGCAGTTTTCTTACTTTGACATGCGCCTAATGCCATAAATAACAAAGTAATCGAATAGTCCGATTAACCTGTTATAGATTCTAGAAATCTACCTCTGTACGTATAGGGCAGCAGGTATTTAACTAATACAAACCAAAAACACACTCACGAGAAAAATTAGTTTTATTTTATCAAGATTTATGATTTAGGTGACTATATAAAGTCAAACATTTCGTTTTCCAGTGTTATTTGGCTTATTAAATTAAACTATAAATTACACATGCCTAAGCATTATGTTCAAATTAACTAGTCATTAAACACATCCAGTAGATTCAACTAAGGCCTCACCGATGTACACTCGACCACACGTCAGACTATACATTGTGGACTTTGAACCGAACGCGCTTCGTATACAACTTCCTTACTGAGAGGCCTGCTTACGGTAGTGTGTAGCGTGACGTGAAACCGTGTGTACCCTAATTTCGACGCGCGGCAAATCCTAGATATTGAAAATTATTCAAGGCTATGCGGGAAAATCACTTGACCTCCGCCCAGTGCGAGTGCGACGTAGACCTAATGCGCTGTATTTTACACCGGGGACCAATTGGATTTTTTTAAGCATTTTGTATTAAGAATAAGACTCGTTATAATTTTTCATCATAGATCGACAGAATCACTGCTCAGCACACATGAAGGTTCACCATAAGTCATGTTAGCTGGATCTTACTGTGATTCATTTCACTTAGATCAAGATACACTAACGCATAGTCGAAACTAAGCATCAAAGATACGCATAGTCAGCAGGACCTAATGTGGCTCCAATACGCTATACATATCTTTATTAGTGTGAAAAAAAAACACGGCAAAGTAACAAAGTGATAGAAAATATTGCAATCGTATTAAAATTTCGACCCCATAGCGCGTTCGTTGTTGTCCAAAATTGTTACTCATGTATTTACGATGGAAAGAAAAGGAAAAACTAGTACTTAAAGATAATTTAGATAGTGTAAAAAGTTCTTACGGTTTGTACACACAAAATAATACTGCAGTTACATTTTTTTAAATATATATGTGATAAGGAAATTGATATAAAATAATCCTTTTACAGAATATACTTCATAGATAATGCATAAATTATGGTCAATATTGTTGAAGTGAAGAAGCTAAAATTTAAAAAGGTACCAAGCATTTTAACTACGAAAACAATCATAGAAAATTATGATTAATTAGGTAATAGCTATGCCAATGGACCAGGTTTTCTAATGCACCAGATATTTCTACGTATTTCTACAATTTTACAAATAACAACCATACAGTTACTATATACAGTTGTTTGTCTTACCCATACATGAATTACCCTAGATTATTAATATGAATACCTTAACAGCCTCATACCTTAAGTGTTGTTCATCGATGTTATTATAGATTTGTTAAGGTAGAACAATGAGATTAAGTCAAGACTACGTTAAGCATGTCTAGTCATAAAGAAACATGTTTACAGTAGAGCTATGTTTAGAACTTTCCTTTTGAAAGTCGTAACTTCCTGTTCACACACAAGTCATGTTAGTTTGCTATTGGATGATACAGTCATGAGTTGTACTATGGGTGGGATCTTTTCATAATACATTAAAGACTATATCTCAAGTGTTGATATTTATATTCCACCGCGTTAACTTGTTCTCTTTTGCAAATTCTACTTATAAAAACGTTTAGGTAGTGTTGTACTGATCATTGCTTAAAAAACCCTGGATACGTTGACGCCTCAATAAAGATCAAAGTCCTTAAAAGTATCGGTAAATCCCACATCATACCTATTACTTTTATATATGTGGTTGCAGAGAGAAAATTTTAATAGATCATATTATAATTGTTTCTTATATTTCCACTTTCACAAGTCACAGGTCAGCTATAGGTACAGGTCTTAATTCAAACTAGTTATAGAAATCAAGTTTCAGCTATTATTTTAATTTTGATTTTGGTTAAGCAGTTACTTCATCATCAGCCCTTTTACGTCCCCACTGCAGGGGCTCAGGCCTTCCTTATGGATGGTTAAGGAGGATGGGCCATGACCCTCCACGCTGGCCCAATGCGGATTGGAGGGTAAGAGCAGTTACTTATGGACAGCAAAATAGCTTTATTTATACAGTATAGGTACATTTTACATGCCAGCATTAGACAGTTTTCGAGTATCTAGGGTTTTTTTTAACATAGACTTCCACAACTAACTTGCATCACATATAATATACAACATATACAAAAACACGACATAGAGAAAACTGTCAGTCATTGGAGACACTATTTATTATAGAGAAGATAATAATATGATCTTTAAAGAAGGTAAGATTGTTATCTTCATTATTATGAAGAAGATAAAGTTGTTCTAATAAAAAGAATTGATAATACAATTTAAAAAAGCACTTTCATATTTTTTGTGTTTGCTTGAGTATTCAATAACTGACAGTTCACTTTTTTTAAATTAAATATTACAAGATGCTGAATGTAAAAATTAACACATAATTTTAGTATGTTGCACCTCGACTATTATGTAGTAAATTTTACACCAATACTACTTTTATATTCAATGGTGTGGAGTAGCTACCTTATGCCAGTAAGTCCAAATTCCTCTAAATCTAAATACATATTATTATATGGGTCACACTTGTGAATCAGGTCCATCGGCATTTATAGCATAGCGGCAGTCACGTTGCATCTAACTGGTGGCGCATTGTACTCGGTTCATGCCGGGATGTTCGTCGTCCTCTTCGTACGCGTTACCGTGGTGGGCGCGACGTCTACGATTCTCTTGATCTGGATCCAAATCCATCAGCGTGCATTCTTCTGCCAGTTCAGGAATTTCAACCTATCGATAAAGATTTCGCAGATAAGCAATTTGTTACGAATACCGATAAAACCATGTTAATGGTAGTATAACTTAAAAAAACTGTGTTGGGGTTTTTGGCAACTAAAAACTTGTGTTGAATAGTCTGGTTAAGATGCATCGAATAACAAAAATGCCGACAGAGAAAAATTTTGTAGAAGCCTTATTTACCCGTAAGAATGAAGAGCCAAGTCCCATATATCCCATTTGTGCCAAAAAGATATTTAGGTAGAAAAGTTAATATTTTCAGTATCATAACTTTTTCTCAAATACTTTTAAGTTTTATTAAAGATTGAAGATCATAAAACTATCTGTAGAAATGGTCTTCCTACATTTTTATAAAAATCACTATAATTAGATCATAATAAAAGTTAAAATTCAAAAAACCGCCTTTGACGTTAATATTTTTTAACACATATAGGATCTTTTGAAATTTTAGAAATGGATAGACACAGTAAATTACAATATTATAATATTTCAAAATTAGCGTAACCAGCACCAACTTCCTGAATTGAGACACACAAACTTTGTTCATTTACTTCACCAGTCTAAAATCTTATTTGCATTTAAATACAGATACAACTAGGGTTGCCAGATGTGTAGACTAGATATGAGCGCCGATGGCTAATTCCACGGCGGCGACGGCGCGCCGGCGTGGTTTAAATTTTTTAAGCGATTTGATTTTTTTAAGAATAAAAAAATCCATATTAATAATACTTAAGAAAATATATGTATATTTTAATCAGTTTAATAATTTTTGACAGAACTAAGATAAATCACATTTCTAAAAAACTAAACTAGCATCAGTCATTTTAATGAAATCGATGTGAAATAAAATAAAAGTGTTTCTAAAGACATAAACTCACAACAATAATTTCAATGTGATCGATATAAACTATCAACTAATCAAAATTGCTTTTCTGAAGCTGAATATTTTTTGCTGAAATAAAAATAATTGCCATGAAACAGCTATATTGGTCGATACACATATCAGCGGTTAATGCACTTAAACGAGGTATGATTTATAATTTTTTGTTTACATAAGACAGCATACTGTTGTACACATCGTCGAGTCCTTTTCGTGCTTATTGTGCCTGGAGGGCAGCTCTGCGTCGAAAACAGTAATGTTGTTTGTACTTTTTCAAAAAGTCAATCGTTGCATCATTTTCCAGAGTGTCAAATGGAATCAAAGATCTAGCAAACCAAAGAGCCAAATCTTGAAAAAGACACCATTTATTACACTTCTTAAAACTGCTACTGGTTTTTGGAATTTTTGGTGGAAAAAAACTGTGATATGCTCGAAAGCTGCTACTTTTGTGCATCTTCTACGCCACGTGCTTCTTTCAAATGTGTAAGAAGATTACCTTTAGAGTAAGCTTTTACCATTAATAGTTACCATTATTACTCATGAGTCGGGGCTGTTTTACTGCTAGTTTGACTAACATTGTTCGGAGTTCGGTACAATCTATTGTGACAGACATCTGCCGCTATTGCTTGACCAGATCGGAGAAAACTATAGAGAACAACACTATGCTGAGGCCACCAAACAGTTACCATTACTTTTTTTATTGCTAAGTTTTGCTTTAGGACACTATTGTGGCGTTTGACCTGGGGTCAGTCATTGCATTTTTCTTTTATGGTTATCATAAGGAATCAACTTTTCATCAGATGTCACAATTAGATTCAATATTCCTTTATTTCTGTACCGATTCGAAAAGGCAAAACAAGTTTCAACAATCGTTTCTTTCTGCAGATAAGTCAAATCATGAGGCACCCATTTTTCGTATTTTTTTATTTTATTGATTTGACGCAAATTAGTCAACATTGTGGGTAAGATAACGTTTGCCGCTAATTCCTGGGTAGTTTGACTAGAATCGGCTTCCACCATCTCTTTAATTCATCGTTATTCACCTGTGTGGGCGGTCTTCTATGTGGCTCGTTCTTTATCAAGTCGAAGTTTCCATCACAAGGGTTTAAACCAAAATCGTACGGTGCGTTCAATAGCAAACCCCTCCCCAAACGCAAAATTGATATTGCGGGCTGCTTCTGCCGCGTTACTTCCAAGTCTTAACTCGTATTCAAAAATCAATCGAATTTTTGCATCTTTCTTGTCAAAGTTGAATAATAAAAACAATTGAAAGTCGATATTCAAATGTTTCACATTTTGTTAAAAGAAGAACATCGTAGAAACCACGTGAATAAAGATTCTTTCGAAAATCACAAACCACGACGATTATATGTCAATTCAAGGAACCTATTACAATAAAACGGCAATTTCATATTTTAACCAATAATATTTTATAAACCGGTTTGTACATGCCGCGACGGCGCGCCGCGTATTTCGCTCGACGATGACGCAAATTCACAGCGACGGCGGCGCGCCGGCGTAGCGCTCATATCTAGTGTAGACTAAAAAAATCTGGGCTAATATTCCGAAAATTCAGGATTTCAGAATATAACCAGGACAAAAATAGATTTTCCTGCAGCCCTGATATCGATTAAAAAAATTAGTAGGCTGCTTAGTCCATGACAGGTGATCGTTTTAATCATTAAAACTTTTAATATTTCTCAGGAATTTATTCAGAATGTCGGAACAATTCTGCCAAATTCCGACCATCTTGCAACACCAGATATCGCTTATTGTAATTCCGTCATTACGAGCAGCAAATGCATATTTTGTTTGCATTCCCTTAATAGCTGTAACTTTTTAATAATGTGACTTAATCTAGAGACTTACCCTGGGGCGTGGTGGGAGACAATTCTCTAGGGCTGGAATGACTTCAGGCGGAATGCGATTAGGGAAATTAACTAAAAACTGAATAATGAGTTGACCCTTTTCAAATGGATTTTTATACATTGGCATGCCTGAAAAAATACAAGTAATTAAGTACCTAATATTAATTTGAAATAAAGTGCTGATGCTGTTATTTTATTCATATTCAGTATAAAAAACACTCACCTTCATTCAACACACACTTGATTTCACCATGTTTTATGACTTCACCAGGTAATACAGTTATCACAATATCCCTGTCATCTAGAGTTCTTATCACTTTTTGGAAACCACATAATGCTTCCACAAGTTCAATATTTAAGCGTAAAACGAGATCATTACCAGACCGTTTGAATACCTGCAAAGATCAAAAACATTTACAAAATACATCTTATAAAAATGAAAATGTGACATTTAATCTCACTAGAAACTAATACTTACGTCATGTTCCTTCTCATCTAGCACAATAATCAGATCTCCAGGTTCGAGTTCTGGTTCTTGGTCACCTTCACCACTGAATACAATCTTTTGCCCATCAGTCATACCTTTGTCAACATGGACTTCTAAAATTTTGCGTTCACGCACAGTTTTACGACCCTATAACAATAATTGATTATTTTTATTACAAGTTAAATGTTAAATAAAAGTTAAAGGTTTACATCTACTAAGTAGGTAGTAACTATAGTTCACCTAATAAGCACCCTAGTTAAAAAGTATTACTTCAGTTTGTGATTTTATGGGAATATCAAAGATATAAATAATATTAAAATTTGCAATTAACGATTCTGGTTAGATTAGTATAGTATGTTTTTCTCTCTAATTTATGCAGATATTGAAAGTAAAAATTACAATTGAGATTTTTCAGCTGAACTGTGTTTAAGTTGTAAGAATGTAGTTGAAATATACATTTAATAAAAAAAAATGATTTAAAATATCTCATACTTGGCAAACTTTACAGCAATCCTTTGGATCAATTATCTCACGCTGTCCTCTGCAAGCACTGCAAACAGTCTGGATTTGTTGAATCATGCCTGGAGCAAACTGTTGAATCTGGACTTGCATGCCAGTACCACGGCAAGTTGGACATGTTTGTACAGCGCCCTATTTGCAGAAACATGAATAAATTTATAAATATTAAAATAAAACCCTAGAACCTACTGTACTATTTAACAATGGACTGGGACAACTACAGCGTCGTATAGCCTTATGCGACATACTCTAGTACTGCACAACAATGAAGCTGAGCTATCAGAAATAATCTTGTCTCAAGGAATCAGGGCTTCAATTCTACTATTTTTTATGTCACAATCACATCTCAATAGATTCTCAATTACTTGCATTGTACTATCTACCTGAAGTCTTCCTCACAAACCAATGGTGAAAGATGTAATTATTATTTTGTGATCAAGTAATTAGAAGTGTGTCATAAAGTTGTATTTGAAGATTCACCCTACTGACCAGATCTTATACATAAAACATTTGAAAGATCAACTACCAATGAGGACTATGAAAAGTAATATTATCTTTAAAGAATCTATGATTGTACAGTAGAATCCCGATTATCCGCATCAATTAAAACGAGGAATATTCCATATAATCGAAAATCCGGATAATCGATTTCAAAGTAAAATCAAACAATTTTGAAAATTTAACCAATTTTTACTATGATATTGGGTTTACATTTGTCATCGCTTAGATGATGCAATATTAAAAACCAAGCTATATCGAATTAAATGTATAAATAAATACCTATGTTATTTATAATTTTGATTGAAAATAACATGTTATTGACCTTTGCTTTGATGTAATGAATCGCATCCCTGATGCCCTTCAGTTGTAACATCTGTATGGGATACGATTCATCATGTCTATCAAAGTAACATCGAGCTTCAAAAGCTTTTGCATGTGATAGTATACATTTGTGCAGAATAGGTAATCTTTTTACTTAATCACTTAAATGCAATCAAAAAATTTAATAATACAAACACTTTATGGCAAATAAATGAGACCTGGGGAGCTATTCTGTAAAAATTCTGAACTCGAATTTGAAATCACTCATGTGTCTGAATTCTCATCATTTAGCATAAAAATTCTATTAGATCCATTTTTGTATAAAATACAAAATAAGATTGATTAATTCATATCTATCTCAAATATTCTATTCCTTTGTAATTTCGAAACGTTATAACGAAATTAAGGTCGATCACCATTTTGTAGAAATTTTGAATATGCTAGACAATCTTTAGTTCTAGGGTATTATTAGATTTAGGCCAGTAACTTCCATCATTAAAAAAAAATCTTTCTTTATGTTTTAAACATTATATGATTGTAAAATTACAATTAAATTATTCAATTCTTAGTATTGAAAAATTTGTCCTTAAAAAACATTTTTACAAGATCACCAACCTTTTTTCCACCACGACCTTCACATTTTTCACAAATAACATTCTTTTGTAAAGCCAGTTTCCGCACTGCACCCTTATACAACTCTTCGAGAGTCACTGACAATTGGTGGATGACATCTTTGCCCTTGCGTTCCCGACCTCGCCTACGGCCACCACTAAGGCCTCCACCAAAGAACATATCAAACAAGTCCATGGGTGAAGAAAATCCACTTGCACCAACACCACCTTCCTTTAAAGCTTGTTCACCTCCTATAAAAGCACAAAACATAATGTATAGTCTTTAATTTAAATTCTAAACAAAATATGTATTGTGAAAAAATACACAAAATTCAACTTTGTTTTGTTGTTATTCTGTCAAGTTTTTTGTTTTCTACCATGCACACATCGACAAACATCTGTTAAACCGATGCATACTTTTTCAGTAACAACATTGGTAAATGGACATAAAATATAGTACACCATTTGTTATACAGATGTATTTTAATAAAGACATATGTGATCTTTGAGATTATAAGATAAGAAGTAAAATGCCCTATTTCAAGGAGGTATCAAACAAACATTTCACACCAGGTGCTTTGAAATGATCATGATGACTATCATCCTTATAAATGGTATTGATAAAACAATTTAACCTTAGATATAGATACATAAAAGAAAATCTTTCATAGTAGTTTTTTGAGATATCAAAGGTTGTTTGCAAAGTGACGTTTGAAATGAAAATATTTATTTCTTGAATAAACACTTTTTAAAAACCAAATCAAAAAAGTCTGACTGCAGTTATAAATAAGTATCCTAAAATATATAAAACAATCTACTTATCAACAGAAAAATCTTTTAAAGTTTTAGGCAAAATTACTTTTTATATCAAACATTTCAAGATGAAAAAAAAAATTCAAACCTTGATCATAAATCCTCCTTTTTTCTGGGTTGGACAAAACTTCATAAGCTTGGGAGATTTGTTTGAATCTTTCACCTTCATTTGGATTTTTGTCAGGGTGATACTTGAGGGCCAATTTCCTGTAAGCTTTTTTGAGTTCGTCATTGTTGCAGTTGGTTTTAACACCCAGAATATCATAGTAAGTTGTTTCCTTCACCATCTTCAGACCTAAATCAAATTAAATTATATAAAAAGTAGTTATTCTAACTTTAAATTAAACCATGAAGAAATAAAGAACTTCAAAGAATGAAGTACAAACATGCTTCGAAACTTCGACGTTTAGAGTGAAATCAGAAAGTTCTAGTAAATTACTTAGCAGAGTTAGCAAGTAAACACTTTAATTTTAGAACAAATTATTCCTTACTGGATTATTAATAAAAAACTAAAATTCTTTAACAGATTTCCAAAATTAACATTTTCCAGGAGTTAGCTATAAACAAAAAAAAATTAAGTCCCGTGTGTCAAACACCCAGCATGCTGCGGTATCTGCCTATTAATCTTTAATCTTGAATAAATATAACGTATAATCAATAGCAATGAACCAGTTAATCCTACCCGACCCTAACTAATTTTATCGACGATACGTTGAAAGGAATTTGAAAAAAAAAAGATCTTTTACGAAGAAGAATAAAAGAAAAGCAGCATGCATTAGGAAGCTACAGTTGTGAAATTTTACAACAATATCGGCATACCTACCTTAATATATTATCTTTTTCACGATAAAGTACACAATTTGACCAAAACGTATCAAATATTTTCGATAAAACGCACTTTTATCTCGAAAATACAATATACCCCGAATCGCACGTTTCAGAATGACGTTTCACTGACTGACTTAACTAGCAAACGCAAATCTAGGAATTTTATAGAACAAAACGCTAGTTTCCAGAAACTTCCATGAAAATACGTGTTTAATATAAGGCTACCAAAATAAAAAGAATCCTTAAACACTAAATCACATGAAGTTCTAAAATGAGAGCTGTGTGAACACTAGCGCCGGCATTAATAAAAAAACGACTATTTGATTTAGACGCATAAATCTTTTTTTTTAATTTAAAATTGAGAACAGGCTAAGGTCTTAAACCATAGTGCCTTGTGGTTAGTCTTTTTTTTTATTCCAAAATAGAATATAATTAATGATTCTCTTATTTTAATTATAAGTACAATAAGAATTTAAATGTAACTAAAACGTTGATTTATATTAACATTATACATAGTTAATTTTGTACCAATGAAAGTTGTTGCCAAGAATTAGGCCAAAATAATTTTGTTAGCGTTCATGAGATTAATTTTTAAATAAGTATTTAAAATAATAAATATGTTATCAAAAATTCAAAATTGTTTCAGTATTTTAGTACCTATAAATATAAATAAAATAAATAAAATAAAAAGCCTTTTATTTCTTGCAAGTAGGTATCTAAGTTACATATTTTAAAGGTAAGAATAAAGTAAAAATAAAGAGTGTAATTAAAACTTATACTAGGTTTTACAATTCCTTGTGTATTGCATTTGCAAGAACCCCTCCTCAGATGAAGGTGAAGGCCTCCTCTAAAGAATTCCACTTTTCTCTATCTTGTGCTATTTGCGTCCAGCAGGGGCCAGCTACTTTAGTTATTTCGTCTGTCCATCTCATTAAAGGTCTGCCTCTGAGACGCTTGCCGTGTGGACCTTTCCATTTGGTTACCCTGCTAGTCCACCTCTCATCCGTCAGCCTCGCTACGTGGCCTGCCCACTTCCACTTTTGCTTTTTAGCGTGTATTAAAGCATCTTTGGCCTTAGTGATATTTCTAATTTTAGTGTGACGAATTTTTTGGATTTTTTTAATATTCAGCATGCTTCGTTCTATTCCGCGTTGGCAGGTAGTTATTTTGTTTTTTATATTCGATGTATACTTCCAAGTTTGACATGCGTAGGTTAGGCTTGGTAGGAGGCATGAAGACCAGACTTTTGTTTTAATATTAGTCGGCATGTTACTTTTAAATATTTCTCTTAAGGACCAGTACTTATTCCAAGTATTTTGTGCTCTTCGTTCTACTTCCTGTTCATTTTGTTTACTGTCGAAGCCAATTTGTTTTCCAAGATAGATATATTTATCTGTATATTTCAGAATTTCATCGTCTACTGATATTTTTATTTTAGTACTGTTTGTCATGACCATTGTTTTTGAAAGATTCATTTCTAGTCCTACCTCTTTGCTGGCTTCGTTTAGTGAATCAAGCATGGTTTGTAGTTGTACGTGAGATTCCGATAATAGTACTAAGTCATCCGCGAAGCGCAGATGGCTTAAGTATTTACCATTTATGCTGAGTCCTGTTTTCCCCCAATTAAGTTTGTTTATTATTGATTCTAGGATGGATATAAATAGTTTAGGGGACAGCGGGTCTCCTTGTTTCACTCCTCTTTTGATAGGAAATGTAGAGCCAGTAGATTCTAGTTTTATTTTGGCTGTGCTACTCTTGTAAACATTTTTAATTATTTCTATGTACTCTGGGTCAACATCTTGAGCTTGTAGAGCGGTCCAAATACTGGAGTGTGACACTGTATCAAAAGCTTTTTTATAATCGACGTATGCGATGTAGAGCGCTCTATGCTTTTCTTGGTATTTTTCCATTATTAATTCTATTGTATGTATATGATCGATGGTTGAGAAGCTCTTTCGAAAACCAGCTTGTTCTATTGGTTGTTTTGCTTCTAGTGTAACACTTATTCGTTTGTTTATGATTGAAGAAAACAATTTATAGATACACGAGAGTAGACTTATAGGCCTGTAGTTAGTAATGTCTTTTGGATCTCCTTTTTTGTATATTAAAATGATTTCTGATTCTAACCACTGTGATGGTATTTCGGCAGTTGTTAATATTTGGTTAAATAAATATGTTAAGGGCGGACTCAGTAGCGTGCTCGCGGTCTTAATGGCTTCGTTCGTAATGCCGTCAGGTCCTGGACTTTTTTCTGTCTTTAGCCTTTTTATCCCTTGTATGATTTCATTTTCAAATATTGGTGTTATATTTCCGCTCTTTTTAATGTATGTAGGGCTAGCAAAGCTATGGTTAGCACTCTCTTTATGCTTGGCGCTATACAGAGCCTTGTAAAAATCAGTTGCTGCTTCTAGAATTTCTTTTCTATTATTTACGGTCCTCTCTTCTCGGTTTAAACCATCTATCCAGTGCTTATATGTATTTAATTCTTTAATGGCCTTTTTTGAGCTTCCCGCTTGTTTCAAGTGTTTTTCGTAAGTCATCAATCTGTAAGTTTTATAGTCATTTTTTATGTACTTGCTTACTAGTTTGTATAGTGCTGATAGTTCATTTTTTTCGGCTCTTGTTTTTGTCTTAGCATGCTGAAGTTCTTGCCTTCTCTTGATAAGTGCCAACGTACGCTCTTTTAGGACTCTATGGGTACTTTTTGATAATTCTTTAGGTATTCGCGCGTCTCGTAAGCTCTGGGATATGGCAGTTGTTAATTTGTTATAATAGTCCTGAACTGATGTTTTTCCTTGACACATAGTTATATCTTGTAGGTAAGATGAAAGGCCTTGATAATAGTTCTTTATTTCTGTTTCTGTTTTCAATGATGAATATCTATTATTTTTATATCCTGTGCGTTTGTTCTTTTGTTTTGTGATGGTCAGGATTGCTCTGATTGGTCTATGATCCGACGGAAAGTTTAAGTTTAGGACTTCCATATTTTGACATAGGTTAGGTTTATTTGATAAAATATAGTCTATTTCGTTTTTGTGTTTTCCATTAGGTGATCGCCATGTCCATCTCTGGTTGGGCTTTTTGGAGAAGAAAGTATTTAGAATTGCAAGCTTGTGCTCGAGAGCAAAATCGATAAGCCTCTGACCTCTTTGGTTCCTTTCGCCATAGCCGTATGGTTTCATTATTAAACGTTCGTCCTTTCTGGGCTGCCCTATTTTGGCATTTAAATCCCCTAATATCAAATAGTTTCTATACGCTTTTGTGATGGCTTTATTGACGTTCGAGTAGAATGAATCAACCTCCTCCTCGCTTGCTGCTTCGGTCGGAGCATATACTTGTATAAGTGACATGGCCATTCCTTCAATGTTTAAGTTTAGCAATGCGACTCTATCATTTATGCCAGTGAAGCTTTCAATCCAATCTTTGCAAGTTTTATTTATTATAAATCCAACTCCATTTCTACCTGGTATGTGACCGGCGTGGCATAGTATAAAATTATTATGTTCTTCGATTTGGATGCCTTTGCGCCTTATTTCGCACAAGCCAATTATGTCGTATTTAATTCCTTGTATTGCTTCGCTTAGTTCGATTAGACGTTCGTGAGTAGATAAAGTTCTGACGTTGTAGGTTATTATGTGTAGTTTATCTTTTGTTTTGTTAGTATGATTCTGTATTTCTTGTGTTGATGTCTCTTCTTGTGTATGTGAGGATGTTTGGAATTTCTTCTTTAGAGGGTTTTGGTCTTGATCTTCCACGGTGACCGGCCGGGTTGGAAGATGAGGTTTAGTTTTTACCATTGTTTTTTGTATTTTTTCTGTTTCTGAGGGGGGCTGTAATTGCTAGTTGTTGACGGCTGTGTTGCATTGAGCGCTGGGCGTGTTGTTTGTGCTTTTATTTACTAAAAAGTTAAGCATACTTGGTTTAACAATTCCTTCGGATAGACTAGAGGTTCTTCTTATTTGTGTCTGTTGCTTGTTTTTCTTGTTGGCCTGTACTTTTGTTCCGTCGTTGATTGATGTTTCAGGAGATAGAGTCAGCGTTCTTTTATTGTTGCCCGTGGTTTTGTTTTTGGGGAGTATGACAAGTTTGTCGTACTTAATATAAGATTTATTAATATCTAAAAGGCAATGTCCTATGCATAGTACATCATCATACTCTTCATTTGTCCTATAAAAGTGACATAGTGGAAAACTAGATGTTCCGACTTAAGATTTTTTTTAAATATTTTTGCCACTATATTAGGATCTATTATATGGTGAAATTGAAAAAAAAGTACCTCAAATAGTCAGGAGGATAATGCCAAAATGTAAGTCTCAACGGAGATTCTATTGATATATGCTTCAACAAATATTGATGATATGATAAATATTGATGATGAATCGGTTCGAGGTGAATATTTTGACAGATTTGTTGAAAACTGCAAGTCATCGAATCAACCCGCCCCCTAATATCTGGCGGTCCTTTTTTTGTGACGTAGGAGAATGCTTTCTGCATTGTCCCTCCCGCTTGATGGGCAACAGGTGGTGAGTGGGACTCTCCATGCACACGGAATTGCGTGAAGGCTACTCAAAACGAGGATGGCATGGGTATGCCATCCAAGTTTAGTGGGTACTAAACCCTCCGATACACCCTCACTTTTGAGAGAATGGAATGGCGATACAGCAGAGACTGCTTGACACCCAGACCCGGATGTTTGTACCCCCCGGAAAATCTGGCAGCCTAGTGTAAATCCGAGACTGTTAACATCTAAGCAAAGATTCCGCTGATTTCAGCATCCAGCGCTACTGGGGAAAATTTTACGCTATTATGTTTCTTGCTCTCCCAAGAATGCAAGTTCAGCATCATCAAAGATCACCAAATGTTATTTTTCCAGAAGAAAAAAGGAAATAGACTTACTGTAATAGCAATAATAACGGAGTTTTAATGAATTTTTAAATATATTTGCAAATAAAAAAAAACGTTTATTTCTTTTTTGTTAGTTATTTCTTGTTTAAATAACTAATATTCTTAGTTTCTCAAAACGTTGATTTTTATTAAATAGCTATGGCTGACGAAAGAGGGATTTCCAAAAAATATACAACTTTATCATTTATAGGCGGCCCGAAAAGCCGCGAAGGCTTTTCGGGCCTAAAGGCT